GAGTGAACCACTGGTCCCCAGCATATGTTAATATGTTACAATTTCTTCTGCAGTTTTGGGGATGGAACTTAGGGCCCTACCTGTGCTAGACAAGTGCTATACCACTGAGTCTAACCCTAGTAGTCCACTTTTTAAGAATCAAATGCTCAGATACTCTGAATACTACACATAGAATTTGCATTTCACTTTTGTACTTAACTATGATTAGTGCCATGGCAGTATGCAAAGCACTCTCTATCTTTGGCCTTCCTAGAAAAAATTCCATTGTACTTATGGATACCAAACCCATGGATGGACCTTTAGGCTTTTTTCAGTTGTTTGCTGTTATCCCTCCCCCTGCCAAAAAAAAAAAAAAAATGTTACCCAGAAGAACTTCACACATATCACCCTGTACCTTTGCAAGGTTTCATTCCTAGAAGTAGAATCACAGGGACAGATGGTACATGCATCTTTATTTCTCATACATCTTGCCAAATTGCCCTCCATAGGGGTTGTTCCAATTTACCCTCCCACAAGCAACGTATCCTGGCAACAACTGAATCCGCTTGAGCCAAACTGCCCTCTCTGGCCTCTGCTGGTGCCATGCCTAGCAGCGCCTGCCTCTTTTGCCCTAGTTACTTCTACCACGTCTGGTGGTGCAGCAAGATAGAAGGACAGACAATTATTTGCTAAAGCATTTGGTAAGATTCTGCATCTGCAGATTTAGGAAGCCTAAGACGTAAGCAGGAAGAGCTACATCACAGAAGAGGCAGCTGCACAGCAATGTGGGATGTACTGTGTGCAACAGATCTGGTTTCCCCCTCCCCCAAAGGAGGAATCCTAGGGGTACCCAGAGAGGAGGAGCAGGAAGCAAAGGAGAACTATGGCCAGGCCTGAGAGAAAGCCAGAAGGGCTAGAAGCATTTTTTTTTTTTTCTTCAGTCTTGAGGCCTGAACTCTGGGCCTGGGCGCTGTCCCTCAGCTCTTCAGCTCAAGGCTAGCGCTCTACCACTTGAGCCACAGCGCCACTTCCAGCTTCCTTTCCTTTCTTATGGTAGTACTAGGGTTTGTTTTCAGGGCTCTGAGCTTGCCAGCGAGTATTCTACCACTTGAACCACATGCTCGCTTTTGCTTGTTACTTTTCACATAGGGTCATATGTTTTTGTACCTAGACCAGCCTCAAATCACAAGTTTCCTACCTACACCTCCCAGATAGCTGGGATTATAAGACCACCACATTCAATTTGTTTATTGTGATGCGATTTCATTAATTTTTGCCTGAGCTGGAGTTGAATTGTGATTCTCCCTATCTCCATCTCTTGAGATTTTTGCTAGGATTACAGGCTTGTTCTACCACACCTAGATCAAGGGTATGAATTAGGGAAGGGATGGGAGGAATAGGTGAAGTGGCCAAAGTGCAACAGTGCTGAGTATACTGTGTATACTGTGGTACATATGGAGTATATACCACATAGTATATGGGCATACAGGTATGAAAAAAATACGGTTTGTTATCATACAAGGTAGGGAGCTGCTGGGACTTGTTTTCTCTGCTTATTTTATTATTAGTATAATTATATTTATTAAATGATGTTATGTGTGTATGTATATTTATTTATTTATTTATTCTGAGACAGGCCTCACCATGTTGCCTAAGCTGGTCTCGAGCTTCTTGGCTTAAGCAACCCTGTCTCAGCCTCTCAAGTAGCTCATTTTCCTTTTTGATGGAACTAAGATTTAAACTCAGGGCCTTGAGCTTGCCAGGCAGAAGCTCTATTGCTTGAGCCATGCCCTCTAGAGTCCCTTTTTACAATTTTTTATTGTTTTGTTTTTAAGCCACACTCTTGTTTTATAGCCTAGATTGGCTTAGGACTCACTGTGTAGCCCAGCCTTGAACTCATAATACTACCGCACAAATCTCTTTAATATTTCATGAATTATAGGCATGCACTTCCACACCTAGATTGTAATTTTTAGTTGTTTATTGTTGTTGTTTGTCCATTGAGGGACTTGAACTCAGAGCCTACACTCCAGCTCTACCACTTTGAGCTACAGCTCCACTTCCAGTTTTTGAGTGGTTAATTGGAGGTAAGAGTCTCATGGGGACTTTTCTGCCCAGGCTGACTTTGAATTGTGATCCTCATATTTCAGACTCTTGAGTCACTGGTGCCTGGCCTAATTTTTAGTTTAAAAAGAGTTACAGAAAACATGCTAACCGGCTTAACTCATCAAACCAATACAGAAAATATGCTACATGTAGCTTGTTTTGAACAAGTATAAATACCGTGTAGACATTTGCATGTATAAATTCTGTGTGTATGTGTATGTATGCATGTGTGTGCACACACATGTGCTTGGCCCAGTAGGACTTGAACTCAAGACCTGGGAGCTGTCTCTTAACTTTTTCACTTAAGGCTAGTGTTTTACCACTTGAGCCACAGCACTTCTGGCTTTTTTGTGTATGTGTGGTTAATTGTAAATAAGAATCTCTTGGGCAGGGCACTGAGGACTCATGCCTATAATCCTAGCTACTCAGGAAGCTGAGATCTGAAGATCAAAGTTCGAAGCCAGCCCAGGCAGGAAGGTCCATGAGACTCATCTCCAATTTACCACCAGAAAAGTAGAAGTGGCACTATGGCTCAAAGTGGTAGAGTGTTAGCCTTAGTGAAAAAGCTCAGGGACAGTGCCCAGACCCTGAGTTCAGGCTTAATGACCAACAACAACAACAAAAAGTCTCATAGACCTTTCTGCCTGGGCTGATTTTGAATTGCTATCCTCAGATCTCAGGCCCCTAAGAAGCTAGGAATGCAGACATGAGCCACCAGCACCTGGCTTGCTTTGGTTTTTCAAGAAATGGGTGTTTGTGAACTAACCCAATGTTTTTACCATGTATGCTTCCCACAGACTAGCATCTTTTTATGAAGTGGCAATTCCTGAATTAGAGTCCGCGGTCAAGAAGAGGAGGCTTGAAGACAGCAAGTGAGGCGGGAATGACAGGAGACTGTAGTGTGGGAACTCAGGCCCTGCCTTCCCCCGCTGCAGCACCCCTTCTCTAAGACAAGGGGGTGGGACCACGGACTGTGTGTGTGGCTTCAGGTTCCAGTGTCTCACCCTAGCAGCCTCATGGACCCTGCGTGTTTTATCCTAAAATTTGGGAGTGAGAGAGTTCTGGAGATTGAACCCTGGCCCTTGTGTGTGCTAAGCACCTGTTCCACTATTGAGAAAAACCTATACCCTCTGCCCTTTCAACTTTTTTTTTCTAATATCAAGTTGAAACTGAGGGCTTTGAGCTTGCTCAGCTTTCTTTCTTTTTTTTTTGCCGGTTGTGAGGCCTGAACTCAGCCTGGGCACTGTCCCTCAGCTCTTCAGCTCAATGCTAGCACTCTACCACTTGAGCCACAGCGCCACTTGGCAGCTTTTTCTGCATATGTGGTGCTGAGGAATCAAACCCAGGGCCTCATGCATGCAAGGCAAGCACTCTACCACTGAGCCACCTTCCCAGCCCTTGCTCAGCTTTCTTGCTCACAGCTGGTACTCTACCACTTGAGCCACAACTCCAGTTCAGCATTTTGGTTAATTGAAGGTAGAGTCTTATAGACCTTTCTGCCTGGGATGGCTTCCAATCTATATGCTCTAGGACTCCGCCTGCTAAGTAGCATAAGTACTCTATAAAGAACCATGTGAGGATATAAGGGAAATGATTTTAACAAGTTCAGAGTTAAGTGCTAAGTGTGCAAAGTAAATTGGACAAAGTCCTGCTTGGTAATTAAATCCATTAACCCAATGTCCCCTCCCCCAATTGTGGCATAATAGGATAGCTAGCCCCTGCATTTAAGCCCTCACCTCAGCAATTGCTTTAAGCTGTTAGTAACTGAACCCCCTGCTCCTGTCCTGCTGTTGAGCTAAGAAGTCACCCTGGAGCCAGCTGGCCCCCTGGCATCTGTAGCCTTTTGCTGCTGCCCCCAGCAGTGACCCATAAGGCCTTCTTGCCCTTTGGGAGGTACCTGCAGCTGCTGGGGGGAGCTCCCTCCATGTTGACTGCTTATTTCCTAAATCTCTTTCTCTTTTCTCTCTTCCATCAAAGGTTGCTAAGCGATCTGTGGCAGAGGCTCTCCCATTCCAAGAAGAAGCTACTGGAGGTGTTTCACATCATCCTGAACCACATCTGCCTTCTTCCCATCCTAGAAAGCAGGTGAGGGGAGCCCCTGGCAATGCCCCTGAGCCCAGCAGGGGTGTCTGCACCACTCCAGCGCATCCTCCCCTCCCCACCTCTGGGTTTGCCAAGCAGAGATGGCAAAACCAGAAAAATGTCTCTTTCCTCCAACTGGCCAGAGCCTTGCCAAGGGGCAGAGTGGGTGGAGAAGGGACCTACAGGTTGTCCACATTGCCTGGGCTCACCTTCCCTGGTGTCCTGTTCCAGCTGTGACAGTGTTCAGGGCTTCATTGAGGAGTTCCTTCAGATCTTCACCTCCGTGCTGCAGGAAAAGAGGTGAGTATGCCTGGGCTGGGAGCAGCCATGACCCCATCAGGGCTGGCCACAGCCTAAAGGTTCTGGCACTTGTGCTTGAGTAGCAGATACAGGAAATAACCTGTCGTGGTGTCCTTGTAGCCCTAGCCCTGTCCCTCCTGTCTGCTCTCTGCCCTGCAGGTTCCTCCGGGACTATGATGCACTCTTCCCTGTGGCCGAGGATGTCAGCTTACTACAACAGGCCTCGTCGGTCTTGTATCCTTGTACCATAGCTCATTGGGACAGGGCCTGACCAGGTCAGACAGGGCCTGCTTGGACTAGAGGGACTATGAAAGGCCTAGCCTGAGAATACATAGGTTAACCTGTCGCTAGAAGCATGCCAAGGCCTTGGCCCCCCTTTGTCTAGAGGAGAGCACTGCTCTAATGTTTGAGCAGGGTGGGTAACGCTCTCGCTAGTGTCTCATGAGTGCCTGGATCTGTGCTATCAGCTTGGACTTGGGCCTGCCCTCATGAACCTCACTGCAGGAGGGGAGACTGACAGATAGAGTATTACCTGACAGGAAGTGAACCCACACTTCATCTAGTGGAGCTCAGGATGCGGGTGTCAGAGTGATGTCTATGCCAAGAATAGAAAGAACGGCAGATGTCCCAGCAGTGAGCTAGTGGAGAGGACAGACGTGTTCCCAGGGATCAGAGGACAAAGGACTGGTTCTTTTGAGGAGAGTGTAGTAGGGTGTGGCCAGAGGTGGGTGGGGATGAGGCAGGTGACATGGGGCCTGGCAGACAGACGCAGCCTTTCTGTGACTCTCACTGAGACATTGGACTGTGTCCTGCAAATAGTGGGGATCATGGAAAGCTGTGAGGTGGGAGGTGACATGTGTGGCACTGGCCTGGGACTACCAGGGGTCCAGAGGCTGGAGAGGAGGCTGCTCTCAACCTCCAGGAATAGACAGTGTGGGTTGGTAGTAGCAGGAAAGGGGGAGAGCAATGGAGGTAGTGCCCAGGGTGGTGGAACAGGAGTAGAGACAGAAAGGAGCAGGCCTGTAGGCCATTTGGTTGCTGAGAGAAACTGTTCTGCCTTTCCTCAGGGATCCTATGAGTCTACGGCCTTTGCAAGCCATCTGCTGATTAGACAGGAAGTCTAGTGACAGTGACCCTGCAACCCTCCTGGCTCTCAGTGCAAATGAGTGGCTGCTGGCTTGTCCAAAGATCATGTCTTTGCCCAGAACTTCTTTTGACTGAGTAGCAGGGGCTGGGTTTCAAGGCCTGCTGGTTCACACAGTTCTGGGGACATGATACCCACTGGTCAGCCCAGAAGGCTCTTGGCAAGAGCCAGATATTCTGAAACTGGGTATGAACTCAGAAATCACTCTGGGGGGAAGAATGATTGAAGAAGGCTGAGCCATGAGAAAGAGAGTCCTTAACACAGCCTCTCAGGGATGAGACACGGACTGCCTACATTCTCCAGGCTGTGGAGAGCGCATGGGAAGGGGTGGACAGACGGAAAGCCACAGATGCTAAAGACACATCAGTGGCTGACGATCCTACTAGAGCTTTAAATGGGGTTCCAGTGACAGCACAAATGCCATCACATCCAGAGAACTTGGAAGAAGCGGAGGTATGGTGTTGGTAAGGGGGTAGAGAGGTACCCTCCTGGCTTTCCCAGTCACTGTCTGCCCTCTGAGAGGCAAGATAATAGCAAAGTCCTGTCTTATTCCTGCTCTCAGGTCCTCTGGAGATTGACAGCCTTGGGCCACTGGTCAGCCGAATAAGTGCTAGACTAGGGGTGAGGAGAGCAAGTTGCTTAAGCCACTGAAGCCTCAGTGTCCCCTCTGTGAAATAGAGGTGAAGCTTTCTCCCTATGAAATCTTCCCATGACCAGAGGAAAGTGGGGCTCCTTCAGCTGCAGCTAGGAGTGACCCAGTCTTACCCCTTAGGCCTCTGTATACAGCAGAGCTCCAGTGTGCAGGTCTAGAAGCCTAGGATCTAGCGCTACCTCCCCAGGCTTTTCCACAGCTGGCCCATGCACTGATTGGCCTCTGAGCTCAGGACTTGTTCCCGTGGTTGAGAGGTGATAGGGTTCAGGGAAGGCGACCACCTGCTGGAGAGGAGGAGAGCCACTGCTGTGTGGCCTTGAGCACGTCACTCCCATGCAGCCTTGGCTCCTCATCTGTAAGCCAGGCTTGCCGGTGCCAACTTCTGTAAGGTTGCTGGCATTCCTGGGGCTGCTGGGCTTAGATGGTCCTCAATGTCCTTCCTGCTAGACCCTCCCCAAAAGGACTGTCTCTCCACTCTACCACTTCCTACTCTCTTATTTATTTGGCTTCTTTTTGCTTATGTGGTGCTGAGGAATCGAACCCAGGGCCTCAGGCATGCAAGACAAGCACTCTACCACTGAGCCAGGGACAGTGCCCAGGCCCTGAGTTCAAACCCCACACCAACAATAAATAAATAAGTAATTTTAAAAAGAATTAAAGGGAATACCTCTGCATCAGGTCCTGCCTAGCGTTAGCTGTTTCACGCTGACATCCATCATTAATAGTGGTAGGAAAGGACCTTGAGTAGTCAAATGAAGCCATTTATGGGGGGCCTGGGCCGTGGTTTGTATTCATTGCCTCTTTCAGTCATTTAAAGCAGCCTCTCAAAGTGGATGCCCATGTAAAAGTATATACCATTTTAAAAGGAGGAAACAGGTTTAGAGAGGGAAAGCCCTTTGCACAGAGTCACACAGCCAAAGTAGCTCAGCCAATAAATCAGAAGCCCTTTTTTCACAAAGGAGAAGATAGAGGCTTTGAATCACTTGGCTTGAGGGCCCACAGCCAGGAGGAGCAGGGCCAGGACTCAAAATGGGTGATCAGCTGCCAGGCTTAGTGCACTCCTTTTCTCCTTTTCTCCTGCTGCTGCAGTGCGTGGGAGCAGCCGCAGCCCCTGGCCCTGCAGTGTGTGGTGTGGAGCTGGACTCTCTCATCTCTCAAGTGAAGGACCTGTTGCCAGACCTAGGGGAGGGCTTTATTCTGGCTTGCCTGGAGCACTATTGTTATGACCCGGAGCAGGTGATCAACAACATCCTGGAGGATCGCCTGGCCCCCGTCCTCTGCCAGCTGGACCGCAGCCTAGACAGGTGGGAGAGACAGGTGGGAGGAGGCCCCGCCCAGGCTGCCTCAGGGGAGGGGGCCCTTTCCCTGCCTCCCAGTCTTGTTCCCTCACTGCTTAAGATGCCTCCTTTCTCTTCACCACAGCTGTGTTTACAACCATTTAAACTAGTTTCCCCCAGGGAAACAGAACCTGGAGCCTCTGCGGTTCCTGGTACACATCTGGGCACCCCTGCTCTGCCTTGTGGGAAGAGAGACGAGAGACATATATGACAGAGGGCTGTTGAGTCCTTCCCTGCTCCTTCCTGGTAGATTTCTGAGCCACCATAGCCAAGCCTCTCGCTTCCTTTGCACTGGCCCTTCCCCAAACCCCTTCCCCTCCCCTATCTCCCCCACTGCCCTGAATGCCTTATAGGCCACCAGGAATCAGGACAGCAATGACATTTCTTCATGAACAAATGATGCTGGCTGAATGAATGAGTGAAGTTAACTCTTCTCAGCCTTTGTGCCAGTTTGACCAGTGAGAGCACTGAGGCTCAAGGAGGGGTCGGGGCTGAGGGTGGGAGCAGGATATAGTAGCAGAGCATGTGCTAAGCAAAAAAAGTGTCTCATAGCTGTTGGGAGTGTGAAGTGTGGCATTCTGGGAGTAAGGAGGTAGCTGCCAACTCTCTCAGACCAGGGGTGCAGGTCCTGTCTTCAGGTCTGTCCCAGGTGTAGCTTCTGAAGGGGAGAAAAGAATCTGACAGGTAGGGGTTGGGAAGGTGGATCAGTGGTAGAGCGCTTGCCTTGTGTGCATGAGACCTTGGGTTCAATTCCTCAGCACCACATAAGCAGAAAAAGCCGGAAGTGGTGCTATGGCTCAAGTGGTAGGGTACTAGCCTTAAGCTGAAGAGCTGAGGGACAATACCCAGGCCCAGAGTTCATGGCCCACAGCTGATCAAAAAAAAAAAGAATCTGAGAGGTGGAATGTGGTAGGGGTGAGGTGAAGTTAAGGACACCAGAGGCAGGGTCCTGTACATTGATTTTTGTGCCATGCCCCAGACAGGTGAAGCCAGAACCCACACCTCTGCTGGCATCTCGTCACAATGTCTTCCAGAATGATGAGTTTGATGTGTTCAGCAGAGATTCAGTGGACCTGAACCGGATTCATAAGGGCAGAAGGTGAGTACAGCCGGCCCTGGAGTGTACACGCTGACTCCAGAGATGCAGAGAATACCCAAGGGTCCTTCATACCACTGGCCATAGGGCTTCAGCTAGGGGTCTCTTTGAAGCCTCAGTCTGTGGCTGGGGGCCAGAAGCAGGTGTTCTGCTCTAGATTCTAGCTCTATGGGGAGGTTGTTAACAAACCTCATGTGGGTAGCCAGAAGCCAGAAGGCCAAGTTTGTCCACTCTTCCTTCCTAAATGGCTTTTGTTTGTTGCTTTTTTTGTTTTGTGGTTGGTTATGGGGCTTGAACTCAGGGCTTGGGTACTATCCCTGAGCTCTTTTGTAGCACTCTACCACTTTGAGCCACAGCACCACTTCCAGTTCGCTGGTGGTTCGTTGAAGATAAAAGTCTCACAGACTTTCCTGCCTGGGCTGGCTTTGAACTGTAATCCACAGATCTCAGCCTCTTGAGTAGTAGGGTTGCAGTCATGAGCCAAAAGTGCCCAGCTCTGTATGGCTTTGGCGGTGCTGACCTCCAGCTCTGCCAGTGTAGAGTTGGGCAGTGTGTCCCAGCAGTTGTTCTGACCTTGCTGTCCCCAAACCAGGAAATTAATTTGCAGTGAGTGAGCTTTGCCAAAGGTGAACATATTTTATTTTTAAGACCTTTCTCTGTATTTTCAGTTTGTATCTTTCCTATTTTTTCAGCACAGCACAGTCCATTCATGACGTATTCATTCATTTAACAAATATTTGCCGAGTACTTACACTCTGGATTCTAAGCCCTGGATTAATGAGGTCCTGGAGCTGTAGTGGGTAATGAAACAGACACATCTGTGCCCACGTGGTGTTTGCATAAATCAGCTCAGCAAACAAGCAACACCACTTTGCAGATATAACAAGTGGTACAAGGTAGAGGTGCACAGCAGCCTCATGGCGTTGGTAGGGGCTTCAGCCTGGGAAAGCTGCCTGAGAAAGTGGCATGGAACTGAGGGCTGAGGGAGGCCGCAGGGTCCGGTCTGTGAAGCAGGGGAAGAGAGGCTTCTCAAACAGTGGCCCAAGGCTATTGTGAGCCTGACAATGATTCTGTGAGCCAACATTTTGTATTGGGTTTTTGTTTGTTTGGGTTTTTGTTTGTACCAGTACTGGGCCTTAAACAGGGCCTCATGCTCTCATTTGGTTTTACCACTCAGGGCTGGCACTTTACCACATGAGCCATACTTCTTTTTTTTTTTTTTTTTTTTTGGTCGTGGGGCCTGAACTCTGGGCCTGGGCACTGTCCCTCAGCTCTTCAGCTCAGGCTAGCATTCTACCACTTGAGCCACAGCACCACTTCCAGCTTTTTTTTCTGCTTATGTAGTGCTGAGGAATCGAACCCAGGGCCTCATGCATACAAGGCAAGTGCTGTACCACTGAGCCACCTTCCCAGCCCCACATGAGCCATACTTCTGCTTCCATCTTTTTGCTGGTTAGTTGGAGATAAGAGTCTCGTGGACTTTTTTTTTTTTTTTTGGCCTGGGCTGGCTTTGAACTGCAATCCTCAAATCTCAGCCTTCTGAGTAGCTAGGATTACAGGGTGCATTTTATATGTTAAAAAGATTACCAAGCTCTGGAGTGGCAATGCAGGGCTGGAACTGAGAGTCCACAGTGATGGACAGTGTATAATGCCAACTCAAGAAAGGCAAAAGATGTTGGCAACTCCATGTGAGTCCCGCAAAGTTTAGAAGTGGTGCTGGGCCTGGCACCCAAAAAACTAAGAACCTTGGCACAAGTGCTTCCTACTCTGTGCCCATCATAAAGGTAGTGATGGGGAGGCCCAGAGAGCGAAGACTTCTGATCTGGCCTTGATCTGGCAGGAGCCCAGGGGTGGAAGTTGAAGCTGCCCTTTCATGTAGGCCCTGGGGCCGTCAAGTGCTGGGAGCTTGCTGGCCGAGGGCTTGGAGAGGCAGTCCTGAAGCCATCTGGCTGCTGGACAGGAAGCACTTGCAAACTGCTTAGTCACGCACATTGCAACATCCCCAGGTCCTAGCAGAGCTGTTAATCCCATGTCAGTGGCTGCTGTGCCAGGCCTGCCTGGCCTCTGCAGCCCCTGCTGTGAGAAAGGGCACACACAGGGTCCCCAAAGGTTTGATCCACTCTAATCTAGGAATTCTGATTGGTAGGTCCTCCATACCTAGAGCCTCGCCATCTCTGGAGATGGCCTTCCCCCTTGATTTGTGGGTTCACCCAGTGTACGTTGTACTATAAGGACCACCCCATCCCCTCCCCAGGTTGTAGGTACCCATGAGCTTTTGCCAAGATTCTGGTCTCAACTTCCAGGTAGTCAGAAAGACCTGGCATTGACAGCCAGGTGTCCCAAAGGCTGTGCCCCGATCCACAGTGTTCTGGCTGCCAGGCTGAAATTGGATTACCATTGTTTACTGAACCCCTCTCTGCTGGGTGACCCGAAGGCAGAGATTGCAAAGAGCCAGAGCCTCCATTGATGTATTCATTATTTATTCACTCAGCAAATATTTATTGAACAATTTACAAGCACCAGAACCTGAGCTAGACTCCAGGGAACAAGGTGAGCCAGGCACCCAGGCCATGCCCTCAAAGGGCAGAGACCGTGGGAAAGGCAGACCATTAAAAAGGCAGTGGCAGAACAAGAAGCTGCCGGGACAGGTGCACCAGGAGGTCAGCAGGTCTGCCTATCCCCGTCGGGCAAGTGGAGGGGCTGGGGCCCTGCCCTTGGGCAGCACATAGGTGTTCACGTAACACAAGGCGGAGCACACTTAGGTGCTGTTGGAGTGGGATAGATGGTCTTAGCAGCTATATAGGAAAGAGACAGGTTCACTTGCCTGACGAGGAGCTCAGCCTGTAGTGCAGCAACATGGACCAGCACATACGTGTTTTGTCCTCTGAGACCTTCGTTTGGTTGTCAGGTGGTAGCTTGAGGCTGCCGCAGGGTTTTTTTTGAAGTCTCATCAGGACCTGGGACTCTTAACATGAAGTACAGAGGTAGAAAGACCTGAATACATGAATAGTGGTACATGATAACATACTCCTGTAATCCCAGCACTCAGGAGGCTAAGGCTGCCCTGGACTTTACATTATATAGCAAGATCCCATCTCAAAGGAAGGAGGGAAGGAAAGAGGGAAGGCGGGAGGAAGAGAAGGAAGCCAGCCAGCCAGCCTTGCTGCAGGTATATAACAACCAGTCAAGGAAGCTGCATAATCCTCTAACTCCTTTGGACTGTTCCATGATACCTTGAAAAATAAAAAAGGGCTCCTTCTCATAGAAGGTTCTGGGGCTCAAGATGTCTGTGCACTCTGCCACATGGAGAGTCAAAGAGAGCACGTTAGCACATTAAAGGCTCTGACAAGTCCTGCAGTAAAAGACAACAGATTCACTTTGTTGAGCCCAGCAGGTGCCAAGTCTCCTTCCACACACCATTTTATTTCTTCTCACTTCAACTCTGGGAAGTGAGGGCTGGGAGAAGGAACTGAGACTTGTAGCGAGAATCCGGGGCTTGCCTGTGCTCCCACAGCTCAGGAAGTTTGTTCGAAAGCAAACCTGAGTCAGAAGACCTGGGTCTGCTCTTAGAAGCTATATGATTGTGAAGGCTACTCTGAATCTCTGAGGCTTCTGACTCCAGTTGTAAAAAGGAGGGGTGTAGGGGCTGGGAAGGTGGCTCAGTGGTAGAGTGCTTGCCTTGCATGCCTGAGGCCCTGGGTTCGATTCCTCAGCACCACATAAGCAAAAAGATAAAAGCCAGAAGTGGTGCTGTGGCTCAAGTGGTAGAGCGCTAGCCTTAAGCTAAAGAGCTGAGGGATAGCACCCAGGCCCAGAGTTCAGGCCCCATGACCAGACCGCCCCCCCAAAAAAAAAGGAGGGGTGTCTTGTCTCTGCAGACTTCTAGGGGCCTTTTTGGGGTGGATCCTAAGGATCTTGAGGTAGAGGAAATGAGGGAGAGAGGTGTCCAGGCACCTTTGCCTTCCGGTTCAAAAGAAATCGTGAAACAAAAACTGCACCTCCCTAGACAGGCTGTCCAATTCCGGGGTGTCACTGTTCCTGTGTGTGTCCTTTCCCAGGGCCTGGCCCAAGTGGGCAGAGGCGAACAGGCTTCTCTGTCTGGCCCTTCCAGGGAGCCATGTAAGCAGAGGTCACCTAGCCTGCAAGAACTGCCCTGCTGCCCAGAACCAAGAGCCGCAAGCAGGGTGGGACATTGACATCTTACTCCCTTGCCCAGCCCAGCTTCTGGCACCTGGCTGCCCTCAGGAAACATGGCAGAGTGCATAGTTGTGTCCTTCCCAGGGTCCCCATCACCCACAAGCCTTGGGCCCCTTTTATTTCCTGCCCCTCTTTCCCAGCTCGGTGAGGAAAGCCAGGGACAGGGCCATAGTGGCAGCCCCGGGCCCCTCCCTGGTGACTATGAACCATCCTTTTCTTTTCTTTTCTTTTCTGGTCATGGGGCCTGAACTCTGGGCCTGGGCGCTGTCCCTCAGCTGAGCTCAAGGCTAGTGCTCTACCACTTGAGCCACAGCATGACTTCCGGCTTTTTCTGTTTATATAGTGCTGAGGAATCGAACCCAGGGTCTCATGCATGTGAGGCAAGCCTACCACTGAGCCACCTTCCCAGCCCCTGGGAATGATCCTTGAAGACCAAGTTTCTCTGTGGTTCACTTCTGTCCTTTCTGCCCACTCTGGGGCCTTGGAACTCTTCAGTCTTGCCTTTTTTTTTTTTTTTGGAAAATTCCACAGGGGAAATTGCTCTATATTCAAGACCCCTCTGGAGCCTCATTGTCCCTACCTCCAGATTCCCTCCTGGGCCTCTGAGCCAATATACTGTCTTCCTGTTCTGTCCAGGATTGGCATGCCTCCACTTGCTCCCACTCATGAGCTCATAAGGGCAGAGGCTTATCTACCTCCTCCTGAACATCTCCCCCCCTCAGTGTTACAACCTGGCCTGGCACATACACTGTAGGCCCTTAATAGTACACAGCACTAGCACACAGTGGAAGTTGCGGTCCTGCCCTGTCCCGCTCTCCCAGGAAGACAGCCTGACAGACACAGATGCCTGGCCCTCCTTACACTAGTAGCCAATTGACAGAAGATTTTTATGGAAGCTGTACACAGTTTTGTGTTTCTTCTTCTTCTTTTTTTTTTTTTTCTTTCCCTCTTCTCTACCTTTGATACATTCCAGCAACCCGATTTCACAGCTAAGCTGGATTTTCTTGTCTGGCATCTCATATTGATTTTCCCCTGCGGGGCAAGAAACTACATTCCATAGCCCTGTATCTAGAGCTAACAAGCCAAGCTTTTCTACAGGTTAGCAAAGCCACCATCAGGAGACCCAAGACCTGCCAGCACCGTGCTGCCACACAGTTCAGTGTGGCCCAAACCTGTCCCTTCCCACAGCCCTGTATTCTGGTTTCCTCACTTGTGACCCAAAAGGATCTCCAGACATTTCTCTCAGTGAACGGTCAAGGGAAGCTGGAACCATAGAGCAGATAAGAGGCGCTGTGGTAGGAGGGAGGGGGTGAGAAGAGGCCAGGGCCCCCTGGCTCTACTCCCCAAGGTCTTCAGGGTTCCCTGGGTTCATAAGAAAGCTGTATATGGCCTTATTTTTTTATTTTATTTATTTGTATTTTTGGTCCCGGGGCTTGAACTCAGGGCCCAAGCACTGCCCCTGAGTTCTTTTGCTCTACCACTTTGAGCCACAGCACCTCTTCCAGTTAATTGGAGATAAAAGTCTCATGAACTTTCCTGTCCAGGCTGTCTTTGAGCTTTGATCATCAGATCTCAGCCTCCTGAGTAGCTAGAATTACAGGCATGAGCCACTGGCACCCAATTTCTTTTTCTTTTTTTTTTTAATTGTGAAAATGCCGTACAGAGGAGTTATAATTGGGCTGGGAAGATGGCTCAGTGGGTAGAGTGCTTGCTTTGCATGCCTGAGGCCCTGGGTTCCATTCCTCAGCACCACATAAGCAAAAAGAAAAAAGCTAGAAGTGGCGCTGTGGCTCAAGTGTAGAGCGCTAGCCTTGAGCTGAAGAGCTGAGGGACAGCGCCCAGGCCCAGAGTTCAGGCCGCACGACTGGACACACAAAAAACAAAACAGAGGGGTTATAATTACATGGGCAAGATAATGAGTACATTTTCTTATCAAGCATTGTTGCCTCTTCCTTTGTTTCCCCTTCCCATCCCTCCCCATCTCCCCCCTCCCCACCACTTCCCCCTTCTTTTTCTTTTTTAAAGATCCAAACATGCTTCCAGGCACCAGTGGCTCATACTTATAATCCTAGCTACTCAGGAGACTGAGATCTGAAGATTGCAGTTCAAAGCCAGCATTGGGCAGGAAAGTCCATGAAACTCTTATCTCCAATTAACCACCAGAAAAAACAAAAAGTGGAGTTGTGGCTCAGAATGTTCAGGCTTACTTCATGCCCCAGGACTAGTACCAAAACAAACAAAAAACAACAACAACAAAAAATCAAATATGCAAGACCCTCGGTTCTATCACCAGTCCTACAAGTACAAAAAACAAAGGAAGGGGGGCTGGGAAGGTGGCTCAGTGGTAGAGCGCTTGCCTTGCATGCATGATGCCCTGGGTTCGATTCCTCAGCACCACATAAGCAAAAAGAAAAAAGCCGGAAGTGGCGCTATGGCTCCAGTAGTAGAGCACTAGCCTTGAACTGAAGAGCTTAGGGAGAGCGCCCAGGCTCAGAATTCAGGCCCATGACTGGACCAAAAAAAAAAAAAAAGGAAGGGACAGGTGACAGTGGCTCACGCCTGTAATCCTAGCTACTCAGGAGGCTGAGATCTGAGGATTGTGGTTCAAAACCAGCCTGTGCAGGAAAGTCCATGAGACTCTTTTTTTTTTTTTTGCCGGTCATGGGGCCTGAACTCTGGGTCTGGGCACTGTCCTTCAGCTCTTCAGCTCAAGGCTAGAGTTCTACCACTGGAGCCACAGCGCCACTTCCGGCTTTTTCTGTTTATGTGATGCTGAGGAATCAAACCCAGGACCTCATGCTTGCAAGGCATGCACTCTACCACTGAGCTACCTTCCCAGCCCTCCATGAGACTCTTATCTCCAATAAACCACTCAGAAAACTGGAAGGGGTGCTGGGGCTCAAGTGGTAGAGTGCTAGCCTTGAGCTGAAGAGCTGAGGGACAACGCCCAGGCCCAGAGTTCAAGACCGATGACAAAGAAAGGAAGGAAGGAAGGAAAGAGAGAGGGGGGGGAGGGAGGGAGAGAAGAGGGGGGCAGAGAGAAATGGGAGGGGGGAATTCCAATAAGCCAAGGCCCCTCCTGGGATCAGTCTTGTTATTTGATGTGGGATTTGCTGTCCTTGTCCTCATTCCCATACATAGATACTAGGGGAGAGAGAATCAAGCAGCTTTGCTTGCAGTATCATTCTGAATGCACTTTTCAGTAGCTTGCTTTTTCTTTTTTCTTTTTTTTTTTTTTTTTTTGCCAGCCCTGGGGCTTGAACCTCAGGGCCTGGGCACTGACTCTGAGCTTCTTTTGCTCAAGGCTAGCACTCTACCACTTGAGCCACAGCGCCACTTCTACTTTTTTTCTGTGTATGTGGTACTGAGGAATTGAATTCAGGGCTTCATGCATGCTAGACAAGCGCTCTACCACGAAGCCATATTCCCAGCCCTCGCTTGCTTTTTCTACAGGAATAGATCTTAGAATTCTTTCTCCAACCAGCATAAATAGATTGGTGTTGGTCTTGAGAATGACATGGAGCAACCTGTAATACAAAGGAGACACAGTTCACGCAACCATTCACTCATGAACATTAGTTGCCTGCCATTTTTCACGAGTTCCAACAATACTGAAAAATCCTGAGCAACAGTGTTTCTCTAGGGTAGACACCTTGAAAGGTATTCCTGAGTCATATAACAATGGTTCCTAGGATGCCCTGCAGAGGGGCTGGGCATTGTCTGCTTCTGTCAGAGTCCCACCTCCCCACCCTCAGGAGGTCTTGTGTTTTATGTGGGAGACCTGGGCTTTAACTTAGGGGCTGAGTACTATCCCTGTTTTTTGTGGAGGTTTTTTGTTTTGTTTTCTCAAGACTAGTGCTTTTCCACTTGAGCCACAACTTGACTTGTGGCTTTTTGAAAAGTCTCATGGACTTTTCTGCCCAGGCTGGCTTGGAATCATGATCCTCAGATCTCAGCCTCCTCAGTAGCTAGGCTGATAGGCGTGGGCACTGGCACCCAGCCTCAGCGGCTCTTTTGTCATCTGCCCCAGCATGGGCCGTCCCAAGGGGTAGATAGGGGAGCCCTGCATGCCTTGGGCTCTCTGCACCATAAAAGCCTTTGCAGTCTGATATCTTTCCTTCCTCTGTCTCTGCCATTTTGCAGGAAGGAGGAGAACACGAGGAGCCTGGTGAATGACAAGCGGGAGGTGGTGGCCCAGCGGCAACGCTACGAGCAGTACAGCGTGGTAGTGGAGGAGGTAGGCTGCCCTGGGCCTCTGCTGGGCTCTGCTGGCCTAGGGCCTCTGCTGGACCCTGGGCCCCTCCCTCCCATGCTTGTATTTTTGCAGGTCCCACTGCAGCCAGGCGAGTACCGCGGTGACGACTATGAGGATGAGTATGACGACACATATGATGGCAACCAGATTGGTGCCAATGATGCAGACTCAGATGACGAGCTCATCAGCCGCAGGTGAGGAGGGGCCATCGTGTGTGGCGGCTCTCAAGCCCCGGGGGCTCTGGATCCTTCTGTGGCCAGATGTGGGGACCAAGGCCCAATCACACAGCTGGTCAGGGCAGAGCCGGGGCCAGCACCCAGGTTCCGAATCCCAGCGCGTGCCCCCCCCCCGCCCTGCTCCACCCCCTGCCTCCAGGTGGACAGCATCTATTGGGTCTTGTGAAGTTGTTTTTACATTTTTTTCTTAAGTACAGAACACTTTTCCCTGTGAAATTTTTCAGAGATTCCCTTCCACAGATCAAAGCAGAGCTGTCCTAATGAAAGGCAGTACTAGAGAGCCCCAGGGCCCCAGCTCAGCAATCCCTACCCCCAGTGAATCTGACCCAAGTGCCCTCAGAGGCTGCAAAGCTGCCGTGCCAAGTCCTTGGGGTGCCCCAGGCTCCCGACCTGCCCTCCTCCTCTGCTTGTGTCCCCAGGCTCCTGTGCAAGTATATAACCTTCCTTTGATCTCTCCAACCTGCAGACCCTTCACCATCCCTCAGATACTGAGAACCAAAGTGCCCGGAGAAGGGCAGGAGAAAGAGGATGATGCGGAAGAGGAGGAAGCTGAAGACGATGCTCCCAAGGTACCTTCTTAACAGGTGGCAGGCAGGGCAGGGTGGCAGACAAAGAGGAGGGTATGGTGCTAAAGGGTGAATTAATTGGGAGTTGTGTGCCCTTCACCCCTGCCTCTGGCCCCAAGGTGGCTCCAGCATCACTGCCTGAGATGGTTTGGGGGGGTGCCCTGTGAGCCAGCTTTTAAGACTTGCCTCCACTGGCCAATGGAGACCTAGAGAACAGAATAAGGCTAGGCCTTTGAGCGGCCAGGCTCATTAGGCCCAGAAACGAGCAGATTCAGAGAGAAGGGCACCTGTTGGCCTCTGCACAGCCCCGCAGTCATCTGGATCAGTGCATCTAAAGATTCCATTTTTCAGTACTCAACTATTTTCTTCAGCTGAAATCTCAACTAGAACTGCCACATATAAAAGAGATGACATGGCTTGTGTAGTGGTACAGCCCTTCTAGTAAAACAGATGACAGCCATACTGTTCATGTTGAATAGAGTGGCAACCAGTGATCCTAGAGCCCCCAGGGTTCCCCTCGCCTCCCCACCGCACCCCACGCCCCTGCCCTCTCAGGGGACAAAGTCAGTGGTTCTGGGCCCCATCACCAAGGGGCGCTGAGTTAGAGAGGCCTGGCACAAATTGGCCTGATGATGGAACACGCCTGGCCTGGCCGAGAGCCCCCTCAGCGATGGCAGTGTCCTCGGACGCCCCTCTTTGCAGCCCTGGTGTTCAGAGTTATTTTTTTTCTGACCTCTATCAGTCTTCACACATTCCTGATCCTATTCACTTTGGTTTTGTTTTCTTAAAACCCACTAGCCATCAAAGCCTGCTATTGTACTTAGGTCACAGTTGTCCCCAGCACAAATCCACCTCACACTTGGCAGAGAATGCTGTCCCTGAGAGTGGACGCCCTCGGCCCTGCTGGGACACCGCAGCAAGGCTCATCCACCCCATCCAATGGTCCCGTTGGCTTTCACAGCCCTGAAGATCCACTCTCAGCCAGCTTGGCCAACTTGCCTTGCCCCCGCTTATTGTCATGCTCCAGCTATGGCCCCCAGCCATCCCAGGAAGCCCCAGTCCCCTTTTCCCTGATGGAACCCTGCTGTGCTGTCTCACACACACACACACACATCTCTGGCCCAGAGAATCAGATTCCCCTCTCCCTCCACAGCCTGACCACTTCGTGCAGGACCCTGCGGTGCTGAGGGAGAAGGCAGAAGCCAGGCGCATGACCTTCCTCGCCAGGAAGGGGTGAGCTTCCAAGGGGCTGATTCCAGTGGTGGGGGATCTGTCTGGAAAAGGCCCACAGGGCTTTCAACCTTAGCCACTATGATCATTGTCCTTATTTTATAGATAAGGAAACTCAGGCCAAGAGAGAGGAAGTAATCTGCCAAAGGCCACATAGCTAGTATGAGGTAGATCAAAGAATAAGCCTAAGCCAGGCTCAGTGGAATGAACCTAAAGTCCCACCCATTTGGGAGGCTGAAGCAGAAGGATTGTTTGAGGTCAGGAGTTCAAGAACAGCCTTGAAAGCCGAGTGCCGGCAGCTCACACCTATAATCCTAGCCATTCTGGAGGCTGAGATCTGAGGATCTCTGTTCAAAACTAGCCCGGCAGGAATGTCTGGAAAACTCTTACGTCCAATTAACAACTAGAAAACTGGAAGTGGTGCTGTGCTGTGGCTCAATTGATAGAGCGCTAGCCTAGCCGTGAGCCAAAAGAGCTAAGGGACAATGCCCAGGCCTAGAGTTCAAGCCCCATGACAAGCAAAAAAAAAAAAAAAAAAGAACAGCCTTGACAATATAGTGAGACCCCCAAATTTCAAGACAAAAAGAGTGGTTCGCATCTGTAATTTCAGCACTCCAGAGACTGAGCACTCAGGATCATGAGTTCAAAGCCAAACTGGGCTATATAATAAGTTCCAATCCAGCCTTGGCTCTACACAGTGCCTCCAAAAAAAAAAGGAAATAAAGCCATGTGTGATGGTACATGCCTATAATTCTAGTTACTTAGGCGATATAGTGAGGGGGATCACAAAATATCTATCTGAAAAACAAGCTGAGCTGGGAACCAATGGCTGACACCTGTAATCCTAGCTACTCAGGAGGCTGAGATCTGAGGATCATGGATTGAAGCCAGCCAGGGCAAGAAAGTCCAATTAACTACCAAAAAGCCAGAAATGGCTCAAGTGGTAGAGCACTAGCCTTGAGTAAAAAAATCTCAGGGACAGTGCCCAGGCCCCAGAGTTCAAGCCCCAGGACTAGCATTTTTTTTTAGGTGGGGGGTGGTCCAGTCGTGGGGCCTGAACTCTGGGCCTGGGCGCTGTCCCTCAGTTCTTCAGCTCAAGGCTAGCACTCTACCACTTGAGCCACAGTGCCACTTCCGGCTTTTTGCTTATGTGGTGCTGAGGAATTGAACCCAGGGCCTCATGCATGCAAGGCAAGCGCTCTACCACTGAGCCACCGTCCCAGCCCCAGGACTAGCCTTTAAAAAAGAAAAACTGCTGAAGCAAAAGGACTGAGGACATAGCTCAAGTAGTAGCATGCCTGCCTGACAAACATGAGCTGAGTTCATGCCCCCGCACCGAAGGAAAAAAAAACAAAAGTTGATTCCAGATGGTTCCGCTTTGGGTTCCACACTCATAACCATTACTTGACGGACTCGGCAGGTCTGTCGCTCAGCATGGGAGCCCACTGTGTCCAGGCCCAGCTGGCATCAGCAGAGGATAAACTATAGCAGAGCTCAGGCAATCAGGCACATCCTTTATGGCTGAGAGAGGCATGGAGGGACAAAGGGATGCTTGAGCTAGGCCCTGGAGAGTAGAAAGAATGCAGGGGCATCTCCCCTGGGGACAGGATGGCCAGAAAGCACCAGCCTAGTCAGAGAAGGCCTTGGGCTAGCAACCGGAGACGCCCCTTTGCCAGTGAGAAAGTGGCCCAGCGGGGCTCCAGCGCCACCTTGGTACTTTCTTCTGAAGGCAGAAGGTCGTTGGGGCAGGGAGCAAAGCCACTAGGAATTTGACATTCTGGGCAAATCCAGATCCCTGTGGCTAAGCTAGATAATGATCCGAAGTCACATACGTGAGTGCATCTGGTCACTGGAAGCCACCAAACTCAGCCCTAGGAATGGCAGCAGGCAGCCCTGGGCACGGAGGGGAGGTGACGCACCCTGGGTCCTCCAGCCTTCCAGCCGTCCTCCCACAGCTGAAGGACAGGGACAGGTCCATCTGGAAGCGAGGCTCAAACACAGGAGGCTGGGGGCTGACCCAGCCTGTTAACCACAGAGGTTACATGGTGACCAGCAGAAGCTCTTCTGACCAGCAGCTTCTCCTGGGGTGGGTGTTGCTCCCTCAGGTACCGCCATGACAGCTCAGCAGCAGTGGCTGGTGGTCCCCGAGGCCACGGGCAGAGTCGGGAGACCACACAGGAACGCAGGAAGAAGGAAGCCAACAAGGCAACCAGAGCCAACCATAACCGGAGAACCATGGCTGACCGCAAGAGAAACAAGGGCATGATCCCTTCCTGAGGCGCCTTCTCCAGGCTCAACTCCACCCGCAACCTCAGCCGTGCAGCCCCTAGAAGGCCACCTCAGCGTCCACCAGCCAGCCATGAGCGCCTTCTTACAGACACACAGTGCCTTATCCATCCATGGACGAGCCAGGCTGCCCAGCCATGCTGGCAGGAGACCGACAGGGACAGAGCCACGAGGGCGGCACGCCAGAGCAGCACCGCGCCACTCCCCTTCCTTCCTGGACGGCAGGAACCTGGCACAAAGGACCTGCGAATAAAGTCGCTAACCCTTTTCCAGCAATGACCCCTGGCCCCTGTGACCCTCTTTGTGTCATTCTTCGGTGACGATGCCAGCTCGAGGACAGAGGGCTCGATGGTCCCCGGGCTTGTGCCAGCTTGCTGTCTGCAACGTTTCCTCACGTCACCCTGCCTTGCTGCGGGACTCGGTTGGTGCAGGGCGGTGGAAGGAGGTGTGGGTATGAGCTCTGCGCGCCTTTCTCTCCGCTCCTCCCATCCTCCTGGCTTCTGCCCCGGAAGTGGCTACTCCTTTCAGCCCTGTCTTAGACATGAGTGAGGCACAGAGGGCTGAAGGTGCTACCAGGCCCAGCCAGGAAGGAGCAGAGCCAGGCTTGGACTCTCAGTCTACCCTCTGGCTTTCCCAAGTTCTAGAACCCTATCACCTCCATCAGGCAGCTGGCCCCAGGACACTTGGCCAGTGGCAGAGCCGGGACCAGAACTCAATGCCTCATGGTCATACATGATCATGATGGGGTGACTTCCCCAAATGGAGAGGCGGGAAGCTCTCACATGCAGCGAGGATGCCGTGGCTGCACCCTGTGAGAGTGGGCAGGACTCGCACTGGTCCCAAAGCCCCCTGGCAGCCCCGGCCAGCAGTTTCAGAACTGGGAGGGTCTGGGCCTAGGCCCGGCTGGACCCTGCCAAGTCACCCTGGATGTAAGCACCATTATTTGCACATGGTTAGGATGAGCACATGAGGCAGATGAACTTGATGAATTGGTTCTGTTAGGCCAACTGCACAAGTGAAAAATCAATAGCCCTCCCTCTGTGGCTCACAGTTGTCAGTGTGTTGGAGATGCAGAGCAGGTTGGGGGGGGGGAGTCCTCCCTGTGAGCTGCCAAGTGAGCAGAGACCAGACCTAATTGCCTGGTAGACACTCTAACCACTCGCCCAGCTGAGTGACAGGGACCTATTCTGTCTCCCCCATCCCACCCCTCCCAAAGCTTCCCAAACCCAGCTCGTGTCCTGGAGCCCCAGCAGCCACACACCTTCACTTGACGATCTACCTAGAATAGCATCAGGGTTCCCATGAGCCTCCTGGACTAAAAGGACAGGACCTGACCACGTTTCAAAATGTGGTCATGGCCAGGTCAAGTTCATCTCCCTCGAGGAGCTGTTGCTCTTGCTCTCCCCTTTCCCCTCTGGATGGCAGTCTTCCAGAAGGCTTTGGAAATAGTGCGGGGCAAGTGGGGTAGTGCTGCCAGGTGTGCCCTTTCCCTCCTAGCCTCGGTCTTCCTGTCTGCAGTGTAAGCGCCTTTGAGCAGATGAGATCCACAGAGAAGACCCTTTGTTGAGGCTAAACAGCTCAAGACAGTTCCAAGTGTGCATTTAGCCACAGACACCCCCACCCCACACACACACTGCTGCTTCCAGGCAGGGATTCACTAAGTGCCTTCCCTGGGCCCTGGCAGAGATCACCAGTGTCATCACCAATGTCTCTGGGGAAAACCTCGTGCCTCGGAGAGGGTTTAGGACCAACCGTCCTTCCTAATCTATGAGAGGTAGCAGTCAGCGCTTCTGTGCCCTTGTGAGTGGTGCAGAGCCGATCTTTTTAAACATTATCAATAAAGGGACCCACAAGGCCAGCACAAGTTAGTGGCAAAACCTGGGTGTGACCTTTCCGAGCTGCCTCCTTCCTGAAAGAGCTGGAGGGAGGTCCCAGGCGTCACTGTCACACCACGCATGGGGAGCAGTGTTAAAGAAGCCACAGCAAACATCGTTGAACATGACATCAAGAATGACATGGTAGCAACATGGGAAATAAATGGTCAAGAATTTGTGTGAGTTTGGTTGTTGTTGTTTTTTTTGTTTTTGTGTCAGAACTCAGGGCTTGGGAGCTGTCTCAGCTTTTTTTGCGTAAGACTCGCACTCGACCACTTGAGCCAAAGCTCTAGTTCCAGTTCACTTGGTAGTTCATTGGAGATAAGAATCTCACAGGTTTTCTTGCCTGGGTTAGCTTCCAACCATGATCCTCAGATCTCAGCCTCCTGAGTAGCTAGGATTGTAGTCATGAGCCACTGGCACCAACTAAGAATTTAATTTTTTAAGATTGAATTTAGGGCTGAGAATGGGACTTAGTGGTAGAGTGCTTGCCTACATGCATGAAGCCCTGGGTTTGATTCTTCTGTAAGTACCACATACACAGAAAATCCAGAAGTGGCACTGTGGCTCAAGTGGTAGGGTGTAAAAGAAGCTCAAGGACAGTGCCCAGGCCCTGAGTCCAAGCCCCAGAACTGGCAAAAAAAAAAAAGGAAAAAAGAATGAATTTAATCCATGTTGGTGTGTTGCACTGCGGCTCTTTTCGTGCACAAACCAAGCATAGAAGAGAGTGTGTCTCTGAGAGTGGCATGGTAGATAGGACCTCGGTGACTCAGGTAAGAATACAAGCTCTCTAGGGGCTGGGAAGGTGGCTCAGTGGTAGAGCGCTTGCCTTGCATGCATGAGGCCCTGGGTTCGAATCCTCAGCACCACATAAGCAGAAAAGGCCGGAAGTGGTGCTGTGGCTCAAGTGGTAGAGCGCCAGCCTTGAGCTGAAGAGCTGAGGGACAGCGCCCAGGCCCAGAGTTCAAGCTCTACGACTGACAAAAAAAGAATACAAACTCTCACTGACTTTCTGCTGAGATCTTTGTCTGGTCACATGCACCTCCCCACCCACCCCCCAGTGGGGTCTGGGAGGTTATGTGACCAAGGTCACACAACTAGCAAGTGACACTCAGGGGAGACTCAGCCCCAGTATTGCCTCCAAAAGCCCATTCTGTCATTTCCCGTTACTCTTCTTACAATGGAAGAAGAAAACACAAGTGAAACCAAGTATCAGTGGTTCGCATCTGTAATCTCAGCTACTCAGGAGGCTGAGATCTGAAGATCCTGATTGAAAGCCAGCCTGGCCAGAAAAATCAGAGACACTTATCTCCAATTAGCCAATGCAATGGGGCATTAAAGATGTGGCTCAAATGGTCCAGTGTCAGCTGTGAGCCTCTTGCTGTGAACTTGAGGAACATATAAACATTAAGTGAGATGTGAGAAAAATGATTTAAGAGTAACTGCTCAGGCTGGGAATGTGGCTTACCTAACTGCATGAAGCCCTAGGTTCGATTCCTCAGTACCACATAAACTAGAAGCTGGAAGTGGCATTGTGGCTCCAGTGGTAGAATACTAGCCTTGAGCACAGAGAGGCTCAGGGACAGAGCCCAGGCCCTGCATTCAAGCCCCAGGACTGGCACAAAAAGTAGCTGCTCAGTCCTAATAAGTAAGTGTATCCACACACAATGGCACATGCCTGTAATCGCAGCTATGTGGGAACCGTAGGATTATAGTCTGAGGCCAGCAGAAATACAAACCTTATATAAAAAAGGCAAAAGGGGCTGGGAAGGTGACTCAGTGGTAGAGTGCTTGCCTTGCATGCCTGAGGCCCTGGGTTCGATTCCTCAGCACCACATAAGCAAAAAGAAAAAAGCCGGAAGTGGTGCTGTGGCTCAAGTGGTAGAGGGATAGCGCCCAGGCCCAGAGTTCAGGCCCCACGACTGGACCCAAAAAATTAATAATAATAATGAACTTAGAACCTTACACTCCTTTTTTTTTGTCAGTCGTGGGGCCTGAACTCTAGGCCTAGGTGCTGTCCCTCAGCTCTTCAGCTCAAGGCTGGCGCTCTACAACTTGAGCTACAATGCCATTTCCAGTTTTTTCCGCTTATGTGGTGCTGAGGAATCAAACCTAGGACCTCATGCATGCAAGGCAAGCACTCTACCACTGAGCCAGCTTCCCAGCCCCATGATACTTTTTTTTTTTGTCAGTTGTGGGCCTTGAACTCAAGGCCTGGGCACTATCTTTGAACTCTTTTGCTTAAGGCTAATGCTCTACCACTTGGAGCCACAGCGCCACTTCCAGTTTTCTGGTGGTTCATTAGCAATGAGAGTCTCACGAACTTTCCTGCTTAGCCTGGCTTTGAACCACAATCCTCAAGATCTCAGCCTCCTGAGTAGCTAGGATTACAGGCATGAGCCACCAGCACCTGGCTCATAGCTAGGATACTAAGGCATCCATTGGTGGTTCTCTGATTCATGCCCAGGCACCAGATGACAGACCAAAGAGAAACATGCAGCAAGGTTCCTATCTGGCAGATTTGTCACGTCAGGTTAGAAGCAACCTGGGTCCACCCAGGGGAGGGAAATTGAACTTGACATTGTAGGCAGTGGGGAGCTGTTGAAGGTATTTGGGCAGAAGCATCCTCTGTTCTCTGGCAGCCTTCCAAGGGTGCAGTGGTAAGGAAAGGCCCAGAGTAGTGAGAGGTTCTGGGCGGGGAGTTTGGAAAGGAGGATGGGGCAGAGCAGCAGGAGGGCCGCATGCCCACTATTGATTGAGCAGCAATCAGCCAACACTTTCTCTCCACTCTGTCATTACCTTGTCCTTGGGGCTGGCTGGTGTGTGACCTTGGCATTCCCTCTGTATATAAATTCAAGATATTAGGCCAAGGCTCCAATAAAAAATGATGTGTGTGTGTGTGTGTGTGTGTGTGTGTGTGTGTGTACTGTCCCTTAGCTTTTTTCTACTCAAGGATCATGCCCTAACACTTGAGCCACAGCTCTACTTCCAGCTTTTTGCTGGTTAATTGGCAACAAAAAGTCTCATGGACTTCTCTGCCTAGGCTGGCTTCAAATCTCAATTCTTAGATCTCAGCTGGGAAGGTGGCTCAGTGGAAGAGTGCTTGCCTTATGCATGAGGTCCTGGGTTCGATTCCTCAGCACCACATAAGCAGAAAACTCTGGAAATGGCACTGTGGCTCAAGTGGTAGAGCACTAGCCTTGAGCTGAAGAGTTGAGAGACAGCGCCCAGGCTCAGAGTTCAGGCCCCACGACCAACAAAATGAAGGAGTTGTAGATCTCAGCCTCTTAAGTAGCTAGGATTACAATCTAACTACCAGTGTCCAGTGGAGAATCTGGTTTCAAGTGGGCTGAAACTGTGGATATGAGCTTTGCTTTTGTATTTGGCTTTTCACTTGCTGTGTTACCTCGGTCAAGGCTCTTTTTTTGGGGGGGAGGGGGGTCCAGTCGTGGGGCCTGAACTCTGGGCCTGGGCGTTGTCCCTCAGCTCTTCAGCTCAAGGCTAGCGCTCTACCAACTTGAGCCACAGCGCCACTTCTGGCTTTTTT